TTGGTTATGGAGAATAGTAAATTTTGTATGGGAAAAAGGATGAAAAATTACATGAAGCTATTCATTTACTTGCCAAAAATTTAAAAAATGCTCAATTTTAACCAAACCTCGGATGTAGATTGGGAATACAGTGCAGAACAACTTAATCGGTTTCAAACAGGTGAAAGAATACGCCTTTTTGATGCACCACCAACGTAGAGTGCGCCACGCGAGTTCGAGAAGAAACGTCAACCAAACCGTTTGTTTACATCAGAATAAGTATTTTCCCCAACGCAAATAACAGCATTTTTCATTCAAAATCTTGCCAAAATCTTTCCATCAGTAATTGTCTTATTGTAAGATTTTCCACAAATCTGAACTGATTTGCACCTTAACTATTCACACACAAGATATCCGGAAGATCATAACCACTAAGGCACTTTTCTAATTTTAACAGAATTAAATTTTTCAACTGTAGATTAAGTTTTGCAGCATCTCAGATGAATCAATTTATCAGGAAAAGTAAAAAAGTGTTCCGCTTCCTATGTCTCAAGGCAAAAATTTATGATCACAACACTCTTTTTGACGTTCTCCTATTCACCACCAGAGGTTGAATCGATCGTTTAGTTTCTATTAAAAAGGCCTATAGCGTAAATTTAAAAAAAAATGCTGAGACGAATTGTAAGGAGTTTTGATCGGAATTCCAACATAATTCTAAGATGAAATCCAAAATAGTTCCAAAGGAGCTGTGATGAGAAGTTCAAGAAGAATTCCTAGGTGATTTTGATGAGAATTGTACGGGGATCTTGAGGTGAACATCAGGTTAATTTTATGAGAACCCCTAGATAATTCTTATGAGGAATTCAAAGAGAATTATAAACATAATTTAAGGGAGCAGAATTCAAGTGAAATCCTATACATTCTGAGGTTTAATAATAAAAAAATGGAGGAAATTCAAAAAAAAAATGTTTAGGATAGTTAAAAAACCAAGGGATTTTGAGGAGAATTCCAAGGGACTTATGAAGAGATTTCCCGGTTTTTCCCGGTTTACATCTTAAAAAATTCCCGGTTGTTAATATTCCACAAAAAGTTAAATTGAACGCATTTTTAAAAACGTGCTGAAAGGAATTTACTGAAAGGAATTTACTGAAAGGATAAAAATATGATTTAAGAAGATTCCCAAGATTCTGGGGCTTTGAAATTTGTGTAGAGTCTGAAACTAGAACTTTTCTTCAAAATTTGTGATTAATAACAATCTTCGTGATGCAAGATTTGGAGAAAAAATAATTAAAATGTGAGATTTTGAAAAAAATCAAGAACAAAGATTTGAAGAAAAAAATCATCATTATGAGTCGTGGAGTCATAATTGTCACGCTCTGAGACTTGGAAGCATTGTAAGAGTTATAACAAATTACAGAACAATCTACAGAATCTAGCGGATAAACCCTGGAATTTTCAAAAAAAATTAAAATAACTCAATGTGTTGAATTCAAACAAATATTGAGAAGGATTCCTTCACAGTTTTTGAAGGAGAAGTTCTGAGCAGAATTCCAGAATTATTCTGACATGAAGTCCTTAGAAATTGTTAGATGAATTTGGAGGGATTTCTGTGGAGATGAATGCAAGTTCTAAATAAAATTCTTAGGTAATTTTAAAAGATTTTAAAAGAAGTTTAAGGAAAATTCTTACGTGATCCTGAGGAGATTTGTATGGGGATCATGAGGAAAATGAATTTTTAAGAAGAATTTCAAGAGAATTATGATCATAATTCAACAAGAAACAGAGTTCTACACAAATTATTGCCAGAATACTCTTAAGAGTGCTCTGGAAATAATGTCAACCCTAGTGTGAAAGATTCACCACAGAATTCCAACAACATTTTGATTGCAAAAAAAAAATGCTGATAATTAGAAAGAAATACTTTTAAATACTCCAAGGGGTTTCTTAACAAAATTTCGAAAGATTTATGCTGTTTTGAATAGAGTTAAAAGAAATTTTTGAAAAGATTTTAAAAGGAATCAAAGCCTCCGAATAGGTTCAAGGAAATTCTAAGGATTCCAATTAAATACTTAGAAGGGGTTGCAAGGAAACTCCAAAAAGAATTCAATGGTAATTATTACGCGGAGTGTTTTCAGGTTTATTTAAGAAGAATCCCATGATAATTCATAGCAGGATTCCAAGTTTATTCTGGAAATCATATCATAAGAATTTTGAACAACGAAAAATTAAAACCATGGAAAAGAATAATTCAGTTTCGGGTTTTAAAATATTTGTTTCCAAAGTCCAGCATCTTCAATATTTTCTTTTAAGGACCATACACTTCACATCTGAAATTGAAACGATAAAAATCAATTTGCAATATTGCTAAGTGATTAAATTCTAAAAACAATAAGACGGCAAACTGAAGAAAATTATGCACCAAATAGAGCAATACATTCATTTGGTAAAGGATCACTCTGTTTTAATGGTTTATTCTGAAATTCTGGTGTTTCCCGATTCTCTTGCCGAATTCTCGAGTTTTCCCGGTTACTTTTCAAATTCCCGGATATTTGCCGGTTTTCCCGGTTTGTTGGCCACCCTGCTAAGGATATCTGAAGAGAATTCCAAAGGGTTTCTAAAGGGAATTTCTTAGGATTTCTTATGAGTTTTTTTCCTTGATTTGTTTCCCGCACTGAGTACCAATGCTACCGATGCCAGGAAGGCAGCTCCCACACCTGGACCCTACCTATTGACCCATTATCTCATAGACCGGAGACCAACGGCTTTACTTCACTCCCCCTACTTCCGTGATCAGAGATTTTATGCCTCAGAAAATCCCGGCGGAGCCGACTGGGATTGAACCCAGGCCTTTTGGGGTGAGAGGCAATCACGCTTACCACTACACCACCGGCGCCGCTGAGTATAGTTTTGACAAGAGTTCAATGAAAATTTTGAGAAAAACCGTGGAAATTCTTAGGACAGTTTCAATGGAATTCCACAAAGAATTCCAAGGTAATACTAGAAGTCTGGACGTTTTCAAAATTGCCATTTTAATTCAGAGCAGAATCCCACGATAATTCTGGGATTAATGCCATGGGAATTCTGAAAAGAATTGCTTGGTAATTTTGAATTGAAACCGGTTAAAAATTAAATTCTGGAAAATTTTTAGTAGAGTCCGGAATCCTCAATATTGTACTTTAACCCTAAAGCAACATTTTTTTTTTCTGTTCACGCTCAATATCTTTACATTTTTTTTTTGTAACTGGCGAAAACTTCTGTTTCAAGCCACAACAAATGTAAAGTGACAATGTGAGAACAATACTTATGTCAACAAACGGCCATTTTTTATCAGAAAAAAAAACAAAAAGTTGTGCTTGTTGGGTTATGCAGCAAAAAGAGTAAGTCTTTCTTTTGTTAAAGACTTGCTCAGTTTCACTAAATAATTTTGAAACACTAGCGTAACAGTTTGACCGTATGTTAAAGTTTATTGATTTTTCCCGGTTCTCCCGTGGAATTCTCGGCTACTTTTCAAATTCTTCTTTTTACCGGTTTACTGACCACCATGTGTTTACAAAACATATAAACTGTGTATATTATAAGATTTGCGTAAAAATACTGAAAAATAATAGTTATTTATTCAGGTATTTCAAATGATTGAAAAGTGGTCATAGATGGAAAAACATATAAGTTCAGAATACGGTCCTAGTGCATTTGTCTTAACATTTAAACTTTTGGTATCTTCGGTGAGGTTTTGTTTTGCATAGAAAGCTCCTTGTTAAGAGCTTTCGATTTACATTAATAGATAAAATGTGCATATTAACAAGCTCTAAAAGATATCTCAAGGTTACTGCACATTTTGACCCCACCCAATTAGACTCCCAGCAAAATAAAAACCAAAGCAACCCGCAATACTTCCATGAGAAATTTAAAATATAAAAGTTGAAGCTAGAAAACTATTTTAATTGTGAAAACTTCTCTACAATAAGAACGCTAAGAGATATACGTATAGAACAGTTCGATTTTGAGAAACACTGAACGTTCAATTTTGAGAAACACTGTAGAAATCGGTCAGTGTGTCAGTGTTAGTGTGTTAATGTCTTCGTTTCCGTTGATTCCTTACTTTTGCTTCATTGTGAGTTACAGTCTTTGTCGTCACCGGACTTGAGGAATGATACCAACACACACCCAAGGCGTTCGTCACGGCCGTAGTAGTTTGGGGCTCGGTGACCTAATGGCAACCGTTTTTACTTACTGAGCAGAGCCATCGTGGGTTCAATCAAAAAGTTCCTTCACATTAAGGAGTTGTTAGGGTCACATCGATTTCTTTTAGAATTAATGCTTCCCTTCTCCGATGATGGTAATGACGTGGCCGGCTGGCTTAACTCATCCCATGCCCCATTAATTTGGATCTATGAGCAGTTTTTGCCAATAAAAAAATATGTTCTTATTTTAGTCAGTAAGAGTTTGGCAGTTCTGGTCTAAATCAACGAACGGTGGGTGCCGGAATGTCCTAAGATGAATAGTTGCTGTTGAATTTAGACAACATAGACGAACGTTTTAAATATTTTATGAAAAATTGATCTGAGTTCCTAAATTTGAGGGAACTTAGATCCATTTTTTATAAACTGTTTTAAATATACGCCAAATTGTCTGAGTTCTAACTACTCTAAGATCAACAATTCATCTAAGGTCATTCCGCCAACCACCGTACATGAATTTAGACTTAACTCTGACTGAAACTCTACAATGAGATCATTGAAGCCCAATTTTCTACAGCAATATGAATTCTAAACCAGAATGATTAAAACAAATCGTACTCTAATGATGATCTAAAAAACATTATAGCTTACACCGAAGTGCACATCAACAAAAACTTAACGTGAAAATGATCCATCGATTTCGTCTAGCAGTACCTCAAACAAATCTAATAGAAAACAAGGCTCATTTACGAAAAAAAACAAAGGGAATTAGGAATCCAGGTAATTGAATTTCATTTCCACATTATCTTTCAAGAGAAAAGGACAACTTTCCCGAACACTCACCTAGTGGCATCGACGAGAGAAGGTTGTTCTTGTGCGACAGCAGTCCGTTGTCACCAAAGGTGAGACCACCGCCGCCACCGCTGTCGGCCGTCGCCGTCGCCGCCATCGTTTGCTGCTGTCCACCACCGTTCGTACTGCTGCTGCCGCTGCTGCTGTTGATGGTGACGGCTGCGAGAATGGCGGCAGCATCCTTCAAACCGTTGGCGGTATCCGTTGTATCGTCACCACCACCACCGTAGCCATTCGCCTCCAGCAGCGACGTCTCCGATGGGTACTCAAAGGTCGAGGTTAATGAATCGTCAAATTGGATTTTGAACTGAAACGAGATGAAGCATTCACATATAAGTTAGGGAGGTAAGTGCCGGTGGTCATTAGACAGATTGGGTTTGGGTTGGGAGAATAACGAATCGCAAACGGGAGCTCGTAATTTAAACATGAAAGCGATAATTAAGATATCTTTTGGATACATTTGTTTATTCATCAAACAAGCTGTGGTGGAGGAAGGAAAACGGAAAGTTCGACGAACAGTGCTTCTTTTCAACCTGAGTACCAACTACTAGAAGCAATTGCATTTACCGTGTTGAACAAGACTGTAACACCACCATGGAGGTGCGGAAGCAATTGGAATCGTTTGACTGTCTTACAAGCAAGCGCAACTAGACTGAAACTAGACTTGAATGCAAACCGAAATTCGCAATTTGAATTCAACTCAATTCATCAAAGCTGCGCCAAGCTCGATATGATTGATGTGAATGACGAACACATGCACGAATGAACCATACGGGTGTGCTCGAGCCGCTCGAGTAAAGACGGCATGAAGGCCAAGAGCACGGCTGGTTGTTGTTGGCCCCAAAAGTTTTTTGTTTTGAGTCAAGCCAATTTCCCAATTCGTATATGGTGTTCACTTCCTTCGCGCGGCACGCGACCCGGTGCGGTGGCCTAACGATGAGGTGTTGGAATTGAAATGTGTAATGTCCATGGTTGAAAAAGGAAAAACCATGTGGAATCGAATCATTATTCATGCACACAGAAATATATGCGTGGTCATCTATTTCAATTTAAGGTTTACGAACGAGGACAAGTCTAGGATTGGTTGACCTGTGGGGGTCTTTAGGTATTCATTTGGATCGGACAAATGGATCCGGATACATGATCAAAGATGTATTGAAAATAAATTTTTAGTAACTTCTAGGAACATTCAAAACAAAGCGTTCCTCTTCTCACCCTGGTAAACTTGCAAATTATGGAGTTACCACCTAACAGCGTGGTAGCAATAACTACAATGTCACCACCAATGTGTTCCCAACAGAGCCAACATACCCCCTTTTCAAATCGATATTCCTTGCCTGCGGGTTGAATTTGTGCATTTGAGTGTAAACAGTATTGGAAAAATGAAAATAGAGAAGCCCTTTCCGGTTCAGCTCGACGCAAAAGTTTTTGCCACCCATTTGCCGTCAATAGATAGATTCTCCCCTTGTGTATCCTTACCCACTCGTACAGGAACTTACATCCACACAAACTACCCACCAAAGTGGAAGAACCGCTTGGCGCAGAAAGGGACATAGCAAAAACTGCATTCTGAGATAGTTTCCCTATTTCATCGAGTCATGCCCATAAATCAAAAACTTTTTATCGGACATAGCTTGCTCAACTTCTGGTTCCAGTTGCACGAGGAGAGCCAGCGAAACTTGCAGCAAGAAAACGGAAACAAGTGATGACTAATAGAGGGATGCCGGAGACGACCCATTACTTTCGTAGACATGGCCGTTTGTTTCCATCAGTGATACATCCGATCGCTATGAATTGTTTACTGACTTAATATTTACCCAGCTTAAAACGGAAGAGTCCGAGAGAAGCGCAGCGAAGTTTGCATGTGCAATCGGAGCAAGTGCACTGTTACGGAACGGTGCTTCCACGTGTTTGGCCTTAGCCGTGGAGATCGGACGACGAACGGCGTGCTCTCGCGGATCGGCGAAACCCGGAAGTGTGGATTGGGAGGAAATTGCATAAACAATGCATTTCTCAAGAGGCGCGAAGGACCAAGTTTGAAGTGTGAATCAAGTCAGCTCAACATGCCGAAATCAGGTATGTATGCGTCACAATATCAGCTTCAATCGACCAAATCGATGAGAAGGAAGAGACTGTTGGCTTTCTTTTTCTATTGAAGTCAAACGGCTTCGCAGCATTCTAGAACCTCAGTCGGCGTGCAAATGTTCTATTGCTTGCCTCTCTTTCTCCCGTCGCTTCATTGGTCTTTCTTTCAAGCTTCGGTAAAACGGACGAGCGGCCTTTCATGAAACACATCAACAGAGGTTTCATGACGTATATGACGGAAAATGAAAATATTTACTTAAAGCATTTCTCACGGGAAAACACTTGACACACGTAATATGTTTAATTTATCTTCCATCCACATATTTATCTAAATAAAATTATTCACGAAAACAGGACACAACGCATATTAAACAAATTGAAAGAGCGGCGATAGAGTGTTCGTGAAAGGGATTGAAAGCCATAATGAGGTTTCGTTTAAACTAGAAAATCGACATTACTTACATTGAAAGCGATGAGCAAAGCAACGACGAGAAGATCCACAGCCAGCCTTTCCTTCTAAGCGTGCTTCTTTTTCCATTTACGTTTCTTGGCAATAGTCTAGCTAGGCGTTATAGAAATGAAGCGTTGAACACGTTTGTATGAGAGAAACAAAACTCGAGTTCATTTCAGAGCTTCGAAAATGTAGAGCCCTGTTTGATAGAATTTGTCAAATGTCTTCAATTCCAATTGTATGACTGTTATGAGCTTTCATCTGGTGTTCTATTTCGGTTTCCAGAAAAAGACTGGATGTAACCAGCGTGGTTTTGCAACTAAATATCATGCTTGATATTGATTTTACAAGCTCCTTTGTGATTGCGAGACTATTCACAACGTGCAAAAATCAAGCGGAGAGTTGACTAGACGCAAAAATCATTCCGTTGCATATCGTTTTCTTAGAAAGAGAAAGTATAGTTTGCTATCTCTTTTTACTCTTCACAGACGGCAGACACGAAGTGATTGCTGCCAACCGTTATGGAAGTTTCGGTTGCATTCAGGTGTAAAGCAAAAATCATTAAACTCAATCTCACCACAGTTTGTTGAGATTTGCAGCTGGTGAGTTTCGTTAGCTGCGATATCACAGCTTGCAAAATCAATCGCAGTTGTTTGCTTGTTGATTTTTTTATCTACAAAAATCAAGCGTGATCTTGGGCATTGGTGAGATTTGATTTTTTGATATTTTTCCAACACTGGAGTACCTACCAAATGACTACCATTGAACTAGTTTTTGAATTCTCATGTGAATTAAGGTATCGCATGATGGGTTTTGACCCTAGTCAGAAACTGACCACTTCCCCGGGGGTACCAACATGGCCAGATGTGACAAATGTGGACCTGGACACTCTAAATGCCTATAATTGAACTAGATTTTAAATCCCCATGTGATTTGAGGTATCGCATGATGGATCGCATAAAGTTTTAGTAGACTGCAACTCTAAAGAAAGAGATTATAAAACCATTTACATAGTCGTCTTTATTCACTTGGATTTCGTCAAAAAGGGTTTTTTTTTTCATGTATTTTACGCGATTTTGGAATTTACGAGGGTGTCTCAAACTCTTAATTCGCTTAAGATTTAAAAAAAATTAATTTTGATGAGAACATCAAATGAGTTTTGAAGAGAATTGTACAGTAATTCTATAGATAATTCTTTAAAACAAAATCTTAGGCAAATTCCAACTGAATTCCAGATAGTTACTGTTGAGTTTTCAGAAGTGGAAGGAGTTTTTTTGAAGAGACTATTATCGAGACTATACGAAAGCAAATCTGAGGGAAAGTTCTAAAGAAACTCGGAAGGAATTTCAAAGTACATTAACCCTACAACAAATTATATGACTATATGGCTACAACCCTGGCACTACCCTTAATATAATAAAAATCTATTAAATGTTAATCAATCAAAGTAAATATCGATAATAATTCAATTGAACTTTCATTCTTAATACAACTAAAAAAATCTATGAGGATGAATAGGAATCATGACATAATTCCAAAATATTTCCGGAATGATTTCTGCGCGGAAAATATTGAGCATATTTCCGAAGAAATTCTGAATGTGCTTCAGGGGATTCTGAGAAACTTCCGATCAAATTCTAAGGAGAGTTTTAAGAAAATAGCAAGAGATTCTTTTAAACGCATTTTGCGACGAGTTACAAGGAAAATTCTGATGAAATTCTGAGATGAAACAAAATGTAAGAGGTAATTATGGAGATAATTTAATGCCACAGCAAGCAAGAATTGTGAAGAATACAAAGCTAAATTCATAGTGTTTAGAGGCAATTTACAGGACTTTCGTGGAGGACACAGCATTTTACCTGATATTCTTAAAATAATGCCGCAGACAATTTTGAATGATCGTGATGAAATCCTTGAGAAATAATCAGAGATATTCTGAGATCAGTTCCGGAAAAAATAATTTTCTTATTTTTTTTTTTTTAAATGTTTCAAGACTCCATATACATATAGACATTCAAGATCCAGAAAATTCAATATCCCAGACACGAAGAAATTTTCTAGATTCTGAGACATAAAAAGTATTAAAGGTTTTAAAGTAAGTAAACATATTCAAAATGCATCGGATATCGATCAACTTTTGAAATTGAAAAGCAAGCGAAAAAGACGCGTCTGAGGTTTGAATATTGTAGAGGATTCTCACTGAGATCATTAAGAAAAATTATCACTATCTTGAACTTGCAACATTTTAGAAACTCTGGGACATTGCTTTTTTTTTTTTTTAGATCTCAGATTTAATTTGGTGTACTACATATAAAGGAAAAAGTTAGCAATTCCGAGCTTGAAGAAATATTTTACATTCTAAGAGAAATATTAGAGATATTGGGCAAGCATATTTATTTAAAAAAATATCGAATTCTCGGTTGTTTTCCGGTGTTCCCGGTGTATTTAAAAAAATAATTATAGATATTTTTAGCCGAACGCTAGTTTATCTCTTATTTTCCCAGTGGAGTCGTCACCCTGATATTATAAATTTGAGTGTTTTCTGTAAACCGGAAGATATTATCTTGGATTCTAAACTGGTCTGAAAACGATGTCCGGTCCCTGCATTCATCCATATTCCGAAAATATGTATACTGTGAGGTATTTGAGGGTATTCCGTAAACCCGAAGTCATCATCTTGGATTCCAAAATGGCAAAACAACGATTTGCAGGCCGCATATGAGGCCGGAAATATGCATATTTGAAAGTATTTACGGGTTTTTCGTAAACCG